CTCTCTCTCTCTCTCTCTCTCTCTCTCTCTCTCTCTCTCTCTTTCTCTCTCCCCTCCCTCTTTTTTTCCCTCCCTCCCTCCCTCCCTTTTTTTCTTATAAAAAAAACCCCAACAGGTCTTAATAGTCCGTAGCCCTGGCTGGCCTAGAACCTACTATGCAGATCAGACCGGCCTTGCATCTGCCTCTGTCTCCCAAGTCCTGGGATTAAAGATGTGCGCCACCATATCATACTTGACTCTTCACTGTCCCAGTGAGGAAACTGAGCTCCCTGTCAGAGCCTCGGACCTAGTCAGCTGGTCTTGCCCATCCCAATAGTTTTCCTTCTGCCTATATCCCCATTAAAAAGAGGTCTTGCTACCTGTTATAGCTCAGACCAGTCTTCCAGGTTCTACTTGTAAGCCACTATGCTAACATAGGAACACTTAGGTCCTCCATAGTACTCCTTCCTCTGTTGTCAGGCCTATGGTTTAGAGGAACAGCCTTTCTGCTGGTAGCTTTGAAAAATGGCTTAGGAGTTCAGGGATCATGTTGGAAGCTGGATGGGTACCAACTCAATCTCTTGACAACTTGGCTTATGGTCCAAAGCCCCCAGCTGGGTTAAAACCCACATGGTTCCTTATGCTACATTCTAGGTTGTAGGAGCTTCGGTGGCAATGTGGGAATTTGAAGCAGAGGATGACAGAGGTCCTGGGCCACTGGCCTTGGCTGCCCAGAGTCAGCTCTTCTGCCATCTGTTCATGACCTTCCTCCCATAGACTAAGAACAGCACAGCTGCATGGGTGGCCATGTCCAATTCCAGTTTTTCCCAGGGAGGACTGACAGCTGCTCTCAGCTCAGGGTGGCAATTCACTTGCCACCTGGCAGACTGTGTTGGGTCTACTCGTCACAGCCCTGCTTTCCTGCTCAATTTGTAGGCCGCACTTAGTGTACCCCCCAGGCAGATTGCACTATGTATGTACGTTGCTGAGCTCAGGCACCCCACTTTGGTCTTCAAGTATTTGATGGAGGCTCTGACTGGAATATTCTCCAGTCGAAGACAGTCAGGACATTTTGGGTAACCAACACTGAAGAGAGAAAGGGTGTGGCCTGACCAATGCTGATGGAGAAGAGGAACCTTGAACTAGGTTGGAGACAGGTACTCTTACTGGGTGCACTCCAGTTGTGATCACCAACATGGTCCATGCATTACCACCTGGCTGAGCTCAGAAGATATTGCCTGCCTAACAGTCTGATTCCTGTCTTGTCCACTAAATTACCCACTGCTTGCCCCACGGTCACCTTCTCTAGGAAGCCTACCATGATCCTGAGGTAGATCTCGTGTCTTACCTTGCTCCTGGCTTTCACTTAGCAGGAGTTAAGGTTGAGGGAGATCTTATTCTGAACTATCTCAAGCTCATAAACAAGAAGATACCTGACAGAAATACTGCAGCTCCCTGGGTGCAGCTCTTCTCTCCAACTATGCAGAGCATGGCCCTGAACTCACTGCAGCCTGAACACAAGTAACCCTCTACTTTTCCTCAATGAGACTCCAGGCTCTACAGAGCATAAGACCAGGGACCACTTACCAGCTGAGTAGGGATCTGACTTGTGGTGTCGGGGTGAAGGGTGATGCTGGATGACTTGCTGAGGCTTGGCAGGCTGTGGTGGGGGTGGCTGCTGTCCTGGGGGTGTGGCAAAGGGGGTGGTGGTTGGGACTGCACCTTCACAGAAGGGAGTAGTGGTGTGGGGGGCTGCACCTTCTGCAGCTGTTGTAGGTACACCTGCATCTGCATGGAGGTGAGGGGTGGGGCAGATGGCTCTTCATCCTCCAGCAGCACTTGGGGGGGCTGAGCCATGGGGGGCTGGGGGAGCATGGGGGGCTGAGTCAGGGCTTGGGACACAGCTGGTGGTCGGGCAGGCTTGGGGGGCAAGGCTGCAGCTCGGTTGCTGGGACGTGATGGCTGCTGGGGCAGCGCGTTGTGCAAAGCTGGAATGACAAAAAATATGGAGCTAAGGTCTTAATGGCCCAGGCACTCTGGCCTGGTCTGACCCTGTCTAGACTCCACTGACCTCTTTCCACAATTCCTCCAACTAGTCATCTCTTCCCATCCTCCACAGGGTCCTACAAACATCAGAATATAGACAACTTCCAAAGAGGCCAACAGAAAAGGGTTCCTTGCTACTGGTCATCCTATCCCATATCCTGGGCACAACACTTGTTCCCTGTTCTCATTCAGGTCTTTAGGCCTCAATGCAGGTCTTGGCCCCCTACTCACAGTCCTCCACCAACCTGCCAAGAGGGTGAGCAGTCCTTTAACCCCAATGTTGTCCAGGCTCCACAGGACTCTTTATTAGAGTGAGTATATCCTCTCCATTCCTAAATGGAGCTGTAGGGAGTCTTTTTTGATCTAACACAATTCCTAGACCCAAAGAATTGAACTCCTAACATGCTTTATCTTGTCCCAGAAGCAGCTGAACTTGACTACTGAGGTTAAAAGGCCACCCTACAGAACACCTAGTCATGATGTGGGAGAACCAAGGTGGGAGAGGGGAGGGGAAAGTAGCCATGGCTCACCTGGAGGAGAGACCACGGCATGCTGGTTCAGATGGGGTGGAGTGCTGTGCTCAGGTGGCTGGGGCAGGTGAGGGGGCAGCTCAGGCTGCGGCAGGTGCAGGATGGGCTGGGTAAAGTGGCCAATGGGGTCGAAGACACTGCCTGGTAGCTGTGGCTCCAGGACGGGTACCTGGGCAGAGATGAAGGGTGGGGGCGAGGACTTCATTGCTGGGGCAGTCTGCTGTGGCATGGAGGGTGGCGGTGGTGGGGGTGGGGGCTGTTGCTGCTGTTGCTGTTGTGGTGGTGGGGGTGGTGGAGGCTGTTGGGGAGGTGGGGGTGGCTGCTGGGACACAGGAGCTGGGGTCGGCTGCATCTGCGGATGGTGGTGGTGATGATGCTGCAGGCAAAGAGAGAGATACCCAGGCTATTGTCAGGCAGGTGAAACCAACTTGGTCAGATCAACAATGTCCCCTTAGTTGAGTGGTCAGCTATCACCTAATGACTTACTCCTGAAGTACATACCTTTTTCTGGTCCCTCCCAGGGTGCCCTTTCTTTTTCGACTTGGGAGCCATCTCTGCAGGGAAAAAAAGAGAGGGTAGTGAGGCTCTGGGGGAGGAGATCATGAATTGACCTTGGGTTCAGAAGGGAAAGCAGATGTAGGGCATTCAAGACAAGGGCTGGTCACACTGAACAAGAGTCTGGATTGGGCTGTCATAGAGGAGAAAACAAGGTATGAAATGTCACCTACCCATCTGCCTGGCTCTATCTTTTCCAGGGACCATGCCTGAAATAATGCCTCTTGACAAGCACCAGACCACTGGTTCCATTAAAGGCCAAATCCCTGACTGTATCAGAATGTGAGCTATGGAGACACAGGTCAGCACTCTGGATTATAACCTTACTCTGTTCTGGAATAAGCTGGTATGTTTGACATGATCCCATTTATTGGACAGCTCCAAGAAGTGAAGGCAACTGTTCAGGGTCACAAAGCTAAAACAGCAGTTTGGGGGCCCTTGCTTCAGAGTGGCTTAAACTGGGATGGAGAAAGATCAGTGATGTTGGCAGGGGCATGACCTGACCAGAGCTACAGGATGGGGAAAAAAAGTGCTGGTGGGTTGGGATCCCAGAAAAGGGGCCCTGTGTGAACTCCTCTGGGAAGAGGGGGAAGATGGAAGCAAGTTGACCTCCTCAGAGTAAGCAGGTGCTCACTGCCTCCTTTCTCTTGAGGAGACAGATCTCAGTGATGTCATCTCATCTCTGGGATAGTCAAGGTGCTATAGAGAGAAGGCAGTATGCTCAGACCTGCCTTTTGTGAGGTATGCTTAAAAACCTAGGTGTATACCTCTGCCCCCACTCTACAGATTTATAAGGAACTTCTGTCTATCCAGGACAGGGAACAGACCTCGGCCAGTGTTCATGGGCTGACAAACCATATAACTGTCAAACACCAGATGGGAGGTAAGGTCCATAATACTGGGCCAGCCTTTTACATTCCTGTCACCATGAGTCACCTTGTGGCTTTACTTTAACTTTCCCGGAGAACCTTGCCGGGTTATCAGTTCTTGCTGATGGTGTCAAGAGGACAGCACCTTGCCCAAACCAAGGCTACCTCTCTGCTCATAGATGTTTCACAAAGGCTGTGCCAAGCTTCTGTGAGATCCGTGACCCCTTAGGTGCAGAATGCCATGGAGTAAGACGGGACCTTGTGCCCTTCAAGAGTTCACCACTCCATGCAAGACCGACAAGACATGGACACAGACCTTGGCAGCCATAGAAACATGACCTCACATAAATGGCCAAAGGCAGCATGAGTCAGGACATCCAAGAACTAAAGACCAAGTTCCAAACTTGGAAGCCAGGAAGCAGGACTCTCAGGACTCCTTGGACCAGAACAGGATCCCTGGTGAGGACGACACTCTTGTAGGCAAGACAAGTGTTTATGGCCAGGGAAAGGGTACTTGGCAGCTGTGGAGTTTGGGAGTAGCACTGACCGGAGATCCTACACCAGAGATTCATATGGCAAGGGAGGGAAGAGTCTGACACAGTCAATGGACAGGTTCCTCCCTTGATACCTATACTAGTGTGAGGAGGTAGTGGGGTAGAGTGGCGAACTGGGCATAAAGACAGGAAGCTACGAGATAAAGATGGCCCTACTATACCAAGTGTGACCTGGAGAAGCCTCAGAGGAGGTGCCCATATACTGAGTGTTGAGAAGGTGGCTAAGACTGGGGCTGCCTGTTGTCTGGGAACCTTGAACCAAGTGTTGTTTTTCCACTTACATAAAAGGGTAACAGCTTCAGCCCTTCACCATCTGCCTGCAAGCTGTTAACCCACAAAAGTAGGCGTGGGACCAAGTACTCTGGATGAAGGGGTTCTAGGAAGTATCTCAGGTGCTCTGGAAAGGTGACAAGGAGTATCATGGGGCTCATTGTCAGAGTAGAGAAGGTACAAGGCAGGCTCCTGGAACCAGGTGAAACTAGGAGAGCTGAAATGTGTTGTGGGGCTGCCCTATCCAGCTCCTGTGACCAAACTTTGTGTTGGGAGTTACCCGTAAGAAGACAAGACAGTAAGTGCACAGCTTCATGACACACCAGCCCCAGACACCCCCACACAAAACTCTCTAGAAAGGGTTACATGAAGATGGCCTCAAATACTGTGTGATCTTTATTCCATGACAATCTTCAACTCAACACAAATTGCATCTTTACATAGGATGGTATTGTACAAAGAAGTAAAATGTTTTTGTAAAATCTGGTCAAAACACTGATTTCTCCCACCCCAGCCCACTTGAGCAAAGGGACAGAGAGGGTTAAGGGCAGGCAAGGTGGAACAGAGAGGAGCCTTCTATTGCTCTGGCCAGCTCCTCTGAAGGACCCCACAGCCAGGTGGTGCACTGGAGCCCTCCAACAGCATCTCTCCTGGAAACCGCCAACAAGGAAGGGGGGTGGGGGGGTAGGATACTGTCCTTTTTCTGATTGTGTTCCCAGGGCACCAGGTACAAATTAACAGTTTAAGTCTAAAGTTTTCAAGGTCAACAGATCCTGAGTGGTCTCTGCCACAGAGAAGCCCCCATATAGGCAGGGATGGGATCCTGGACAGGAAACATAAGAGGACTCTGAGGAAGAGCTGGCCTGTAGTTACGGCCTGTGTGCATGCACATGTGTGGACAGAGGCAGGGGTGGGGGAGACCCAGCATGTGGGAATCTAGGTTGCCATTTGGTCCAAGATAGCAGAATCTTCCCAGAATGATAATGCCAACTGTTTCCCAACTGTCCCGTGGGAATCTTTGGGCATGATACTCCCCTCCCCCAAGCAAGCCAAGTTCACTAGGGACACATCAGACACAGGCCAAAGGGCAGCTCAAAATAGTCTGTTTAGCAAACCCAGCTGACTAGAAGATGGACAATCAAAGAGGACTTGGAATGGCCAAGAACTCAGCATCACCACAGGGCAATCAGAAATTTTGGTTCCCTAAGGCCACAGTAGGTCTGGGGCACCAAGCAACCCAAGGATTCAGGCATCTGGGGAGGGCTTCCAAGGTCAGGGGTGGGGTGCAGGTGCCAAGCACCACCTCAGTCTACTTTCAGCCCCAGGCGAAAGGCTCTAAGGTGTCAGGAGACGGTCAAAGCCTCTTACAAGCACACACACAGCACATTTTAAAAGAGAAAAAGACAGGAAAACGAGCCCCCTAAAATGCAGATACAATTCCTTAGGGCATTTTCCAAAAAAATGCCAGGCAGTTTTCTGGTGAGCTGCTCAATTTATGACCAAAAAAGAAAAAGGGCCAGTACTTATTTTTAGAGCTAAAAACTCTAGTTGGTGTGCCTCTGGAAGGGTTTAGATGATGTGGCCCCTCTTCGCCTGCCTTAGCCCCAATAGCTGCTGTCATTCTAGGGAGCTGAAGATGAGGAAGATGGCATGCTAGTAATGGCCCTAGAGATGCACTGTGGGCAGCCTTAGTGATTGTGATGTCCTTCTCAAACACTCCCCAGATCCTGTCCCTATTGAGCAGGGCTGATGGGCCTGTATGCCCCTTACTAGCAGCCTTGAAACTACATTTCCTACATGACTTGAGAAAAGACCAAAGAACTTGGGAAATGTCCACCAGGCCACTTGAGCTTTTAGCAATACATGAAACAATGAGGACTGAAGGAGAACTTCGGGAGGCTGTGGGTCAGCTAACGCTGGTCACAGCCTCTATGTGGCAGAGTCAACAAGGATGGCTTCACGCAGCCTTTGAGGGCTCAGCTGGCCTCTTCTAAAGCCCCCATGTGGGAGGTCAGAGTGTTCATCCTTAGGGTGAATCAGATCTAAAGTCACTGCAAGGTCCAGGAGGAAAGCAATTAGGGTTTGGAGTCTCAGGAAAAGAAGGGACAAAGAGGGGAACACTTTGCATACATAGCAGCAACACATGTATGCATGTAGGGGATTGTCATCACCCTCTAGGAGATGCCACCCACCCAGAGGACCCCAGACGACCAGGGAGGCTAGGCAGACCAGGCAGGCAGTCTTTGTACAGGGAGGCCAAGCCGGCAGGCCAGGCAGGCAGCCTTCCTGAAGGTGGGACTAGGTGTATGCTGCTGGACATGACTAATCCACCCTGAGGGACAGGCCCAGGGCTCTGAGAATTCCATAACTTGATGGAGTCCTGTCCCTTTCACAGAAGATAATGGACTTAAGCTATAGCTTGCTGGGAAGGAATCTGGAACTGAAGACCGTTTTATTAAGATTCCGTGTCCAATGATTAGGCAGGACCTACATAGAGGGAGAGAGAAACCAGTGTGAGAGAATGGTGTGGAATGTACCGTTCAAGTTACAAGAACAGAAGAACTGCAGATCAAGCCAACCTCTGTGCCCTAGTGGCTGAAAGGGTGGGCATGAGAAAACCTTGCTGGAAACCAAGAGCCCCATCCCTACTGGGCCTGCCTCAGCAGGGACAGATAAACCCACACCTTAGAAAGGCCACAGTATGTACAGAAGGCTTTCTAAAATTGCCAAGCTTGTCTGTGCTTCTAAACAAAACAACTGCTTCTGCTAATGAATTTCAAGTGTGCCCTGCTGCACCTGAAGCCACCCACCCCGTATGAAGAGAGGTGCCCCTTAATTGTCCATCCTATTAGCCAGGTGTGTCAAGTTCATCGGGCTTCAGCTGACTGCTACTTAGGGAGGCAATACCAGCCCTTCCTCAGTATAGCCAGGAAAGAAGTCCCTGACAAAGGAGGCAGCACTAGAGTGTAGAAGTTCCTATTGAGGAAGGCAAAGAACAGAGCCATCTCTGCATTCTTTCACATCCCCAGAATAAAAGCAGAAACTATAAAAATAAGAACATAATAGTTGGGGTAGGGTGGGGAAGGACAAAGAGGAAAGCCTTGTCATCCTTTCCATCCTTTTCTAGGACATCTAACATGGCTTCTGGTCCAGGGAGAGGTCTGGATGGGTTCCTACATGTAGTGGAGTGGCGCCTCTGTAGGAGTCAGGGATGTAACAATCCCTAGCTTCAGAACATGCATGGGAAAAACATGCCTGGGAAAACCCCGCCCACTCAGCCTTTCACTGTAGGCCACATTCCACAAAGCTGGCCCTCACCCCAGGGAAGCCCGAATCACTCCAAGCTGCAGCTCCTGAGCTTGCCTTGCCGGAGGTATCACCTGGGGGTGCAGACTTCCTACTTACTCCCTTCAAGGGCCTCATCCCTTCCTAAGGCAAGTGTCACACTGGTCTTGAGATGGGACTGGAATGAATCCCTCAAAGATCCCAGGGAAAGGGGGCTGAGGCTGGCTTCCTAGTCAGAACCTCCAGAGTGTCTCATGGCCTCTGTTTGCACTTCCTAGCTCTAGTCTTTCCAAAACATCAAGCACTCTTCTTTCCCCTGGAGCTACAGAGGAACACCCATATGCTCCAATGCTGGGAAAAGGAAACCAAGAGACTAAAATAGCTGAACTGCATTATCAGAGGGCCAAAGTCCGAGTCTTTTTGTTATCTTTCTCCAAACCTATTCCCATTCAGGCAACTGATGTATACTCTGGGGGTGGCTCCAGAGAGGGACATAAGCTATGTAGCCACTCATGCCCACAAAAACCTGCAGAAGATATGTGGAGAAAAATCAGGTATTGGCAATATGAGAAAAATGAAGGGGATTCCTAGAACATCCCTTACCTCATATACCAGCTGATCTGAGCCTATGCTAGTGACTGCATGGCTAGAGCTGGGAGAGCAATGGAAAAGAGAGAATCACAGTGCCTTCCTTGGGCCTGACAAGTCCAGGTCTGCAGACATCCTAGCAGTTGAATGGATGTAACACTTGGGCCTTACTCTACTTGTCCTAACACTGAAACCCTGAGCAGTTCCAGACTCAAGCCAGAATCAAAAGTTAATGAAAAAAACCAAAATACAACAAATAGTTGAGTTCAAAGAAGTCATAAGACTAGTCACTGGTGCTGCATACTGCTGTAGAAAATGAGAGAATACAGAGGGGCTGGAACCCAGCTATCATCTGGACAATCTCCTTAAATTGTAGCCTGGTCCAGCCCTGTGCATCATGGAGAGCTATCAGGAGAGTTTCTTATAATATCCTTCCATTCCGAAATGAGTGCATCTTGTGGTTTTTTTTTTCCTTTTTTTTTTGGGGGGGGGGTGTGAATTTATGTCTCTGTGCCCATGTCAGTAGATCTGATCTTTAGTAGTACAAGTGGCAAAAATAGGCCCACTGGGGAGTTTTAGCTTCAATTCAAATGAAAACATAAGAACAAGGAAGGCATAAAAAATTAAGGCCCAAAAGACCAAAGGGATAAACACCTTAAATGCTCACCCCGACTCAGCCTCACTCCACTAAGGCAGAACTGCTTGCAATCAGCACAGAAGTTGGGGTGGCTGGGTTTCCTGGATCCAGAATAGCTGTCAGAGAATCTGTCCACCACCGCACCTCACAACCACCAGGAAAAGCGCAATGTGGGAAGCAGGGGCTATATTCCACTGGTATGACACGTACTGGTGTGTGTTAGCTCCTATTTGGCTCCCACTTTGGGATCTGAACAGGACTGTTCTGAGCCATTCAGCTCATGACAGCACATGATGCACACAGTAAGAAAGGAAAACCCAGTGCTCCACTGGCAAACCCAGTGGCCAGGATGATCAGAAACCAGAGCCAGCAAAACCCAAGTGGGAAAAGCATCTGCGAAGAGGGAGGGGCCCAGCTCAGACAGTAAAGTGAACAGCTACGGCTAGGTAGCCAGAGCCAGCAGCTCCATGACTGTAAATCTCCCCCCCTCTCTTCCTACCAGGACAGCTGTTCCCAGGACTCTCAGATTACTTGTTGCACAATCTTTCCACTTTTCTTTAAGGGAGAATTGGAAAAAAAAAATCTTTGTAATAATAGTGAACTGTTGGAAATGGCACCATGGTGGCCATGGAAGCAGGACACTCTCATGGGAGTCCAGGAGACTCCCTAAAGCACCAGAGGATTGTGGGGGTCAGTGGCTCAAGGTATGGGGGGGCTCTCAGTTCTCTAAGTCCCTCCAAGCCAGGTTGTTTCATCATCAGTGCTAGTCTCTGCAGTTTTCTTTTGGTTATTTGGATTCTTAGAAGAGAAAGCTATAAAACTTCAGTAGGAACAATCTAGAACACACACGAACACACACGAACACGAACACGAACACACACACACAAACTTCAGTAGGAACAATCTAGAACACACACGAACACACACGCGCGCGCACAAGGCAAATCTGAAATTTGGCTGGCAGTGAAAGGGAAAAAGTCAGTGGCCACCACGAATGCTAATGGAGCCCAAGAATACACCCAGCCCCACTTGAAGAAAGCAGCCGATGGTCAGTCCTTCACAGCAGGTCTGGGGTGCAGCTCCCCCAGCTTATTGATGGGATAAGAAAGCAAGGCAAGTTGTTCAGGTTAGAAAGAAGGCTGATAATGGAGGCTATGAAGCCGGGCAATTGCCCATGTGTGTGGAGGGGGTGGGGGGCACAGAGGATGGATGGATAATCCACTAGTGTCTCTTCCTCCTACCCCCAGTTTCCCTGGGCAGAAGTAGGCTTAGCCCACCCTGTGTGTACAACTTAGAACAGCATAGCTCATTTCAGCTGCTGTGAGGGAGCTTTGTAACCTTCCTTGAAAGGATCAGGTCATTATTCCAGAGGTAGAAGGGATACATGGCAGAAACCTTTTCATCCAAACATTTATTTCCTATTGTAGAACCTACATGTCCCCAGCCTACCTCGTAGAGAGTATCTGAGACCCCAGGGCTGGCTTCTAGGTGGTCTGCAGTTTAAACACTCAGATTATGAAACCTGCCCTGCCCAGGGGCAACCACATTCACAGGAGCCATGTGTGTTGGGCAACTCAGGTACCATGGTGTCTTCCCTACCCTTCCTTGAGGCCAGTGTGAATACCTAATTCCTCTGGGAACACCAGGGAACACAACCTGCTCCCACTATCAGTTCTGCAGCTGCATTTCAGAAGGTGGGTTCTGAACATGAGTACAGGCCCACAGAGCACAAAAAGGGACCACTACAAGAGAACACACATATCCAGGTACATGCAAAGTTAGAACATAGCTAGGAACAGCCAACACAGCAAGCACACTGTGGGAAGACAAGGGCAGTTCCCAGAGTTCAGAGACCATGCCACAGACAGCAGTGGCCAAAAGCAGACTGACCATGCAGGCTGACAATTGTAGATGGCTTGGCTCTACTAGCTGCTAGAATCTGGCCAAGTCATTCCAGGAGATTTACTAACATGTGACTGATGCCAAAAAGACCAAGAGGATATTCTATCCAGTGGGGCAAAAAATGGTACTGGTGGTGGAGTGGGTGGGAGGATGGGGTATGACATGCCACACTAAAGTTGATGGTAGCATTTGGAGACCCAACACCTCCAAGCCTTAAGGCCTGGAACTTTCCAGTGTCAATACCCTTGGCCACTTACTCTCTAGCTCAAGCAGGGCTACATGGCAAGAAAATACAGCTGCACAGGGTGCAGGGCCTCTCAGCATCCCCAGGGAGAAAGATAACATGACAGATGAGCAAAAAGAAGGGCCCAGGAAGTCTTTATGACCTTTGACTCTGGACTTTAAGCAACCTGGATAAAGGACAAGAGCTAGTCCCATGCACAGGTAGGGATAATGTGACCAGAGGCTTAAATAAGAGTTGTCAGCTAACCTGTTTCAGAGTCTTCACTGTCAGAGGAGCTGGACTCGCTGGTGCTCTCCGACTCAGAAGATGAGAAGCCCTTTATCTTGGAGGAACCAGCAATCACATCAACTTTTTCAGCTGTAACCCAAACAACAGACCTTTGTTAGGCAGAGTAAGAACGCAGGAGACTGTTGCTAGCCACAGCACACTCCCTACTGCCCAGAAGGCAGCTCAGTGGGAAGCCTGGCCCCATGGGCCTGAGGGTTGCTCCTTAGTTGGCAGCCACTACCAACCCAGGCCCTGAGTGGTCCCACGGTTCTCACTGGTAGTCTTCTACATACTAGCCAAAGAATGGCTTGTCCTACAATTTCAAGACCCTGTCAATCTCTTAGAACACCCTCTGAATGGTTTTCCAAGAACTCAAGAGACTAGGCGAAAGTAAATTCGTTGCATGATGTACTGCTGGGCCTTCTATGAAGAGGACCTATGGAGGATATTATGCACAGAGACACAGCAAAAGAAGCAAAGAGCTCTCCCAACATTCCTGTTTGGAAGAGCTCAAAAAGAAGCCCAAACGATGTCACTGAACAGCAGACCCAGCGGAAAGGCCCGAGACAGCAATGGGCAAAAAATACTTTTACATCCTAAGCCATCTGGTACTAACACAGAAAGTTATGTGGCAACATGAGACATATATAGTATGAAGGCTGTTGGCAATGGGAGATTGGGTTTGCAACATCCCTGCAAGAGAGTAGGGGGCTCAGTTCTGACTCAATATCACACACATCCCTGGGACATTTTGGACACCCCTTTCCTCCTAGCCTCACCCTTACAGAGATGGGAGGTAGCTTTTGAGGAAGAGTACATGGCTAGCAACCAGAGATGAAAGGCTTGCAAGACAGATTCAGCTGGGTCCCAGACAGCCACCAGAGAGAGGTCTAGGAATACACTGATAATCCAGTGTCAAGTGTGGTATCATTCTTGGGGTTTCATTTTTACTACATGTGCGTGCATGTACACGTACACGTACACGTACACGTACACGTACACGTACACACACACCAGAGAAGAACCTGAAGGGGTCAGTTCTCTCCTTCCACCATGTGGTCCTGGGGATGGGACTCAGGTTGTCAGGCTTGGTGGCAACTGCCTTTACTTGCTGAGTCATCTTGTCCACCCACCCCTATTCTTGGGATTTCTATGTCAAAAGCATGACACTGTTAATTGTGGGAGGGAAACAAAACTGCAGATATAGAGTGCTGAGTCTAGGGAAAAAAAAGTTCACTGAGAAGTTCCACAGGAAAGACCCCTTTACCCAGGGGGTCAAGTATACCTTGAGGTTTTCTTTTCTTCCGCAAACAGGAGGTGACGTAGCGCTCTAACTCTCGCAGTGTGGATGGTTTCAGGGTCTCAAAGTCAATCTCAATCTCATCAGGGTTGGAGTTCTTGAGCGAGGGTTCCCTTGACTGGATAATGTGCACCACACGGCCCAGCTTCTCACCGGGGAGCTTGTTGATGTCCAAGCTTAGCTGCCTCTTCTCCTCATAGGACATGGGTTTGCACTTGTCCTCTTCCTCTGACTCATATGTAGGAGGGGGCTTGTTCTTCAGGGGTGCTGGTTCCTTCTTGCTATGAAGGTACAATGCAGATACAATTAAGAATGGGTCCCCTAAGGAAGTTGTGAGCTCATTCAAGTACATGTAGCATGGGAGGAGGGGACTTCCCACACCCAACTAGAAATGGGACTCAAGGCAGCTCTGCACCTAGGAAGACCAGTAATAAACTGGCAGGCTGTGGAAGCTGGGGCTCTGCTGTGGCTGCATCCTGACCACCTACATCTACTCTCTTTCACAGTGAGCTATCAAGGCCTATGCTAGAGAAAAAGACAGAGAGAGAGCACTTAAGTGCTGCTCATGGGAAGTTACCACCCAAGACTGGTGGCTGCAGTAGCAGGGTACTTTTCCTCTCTATCAAGGGTTTCTGGGATACCCCCCCCCCCCAAGAAAATTTAGGAAGCACAGACCTCACACTGCTGTTGCTGCTGTTATTTTTCTTTGTCTTTTTGGGAGGCAGTTCCTTGGCTTTGCTTTTTTTATTTTCCTCTACTTCCTCTTTCTTTTTGTGCTTTTCCTTTTTCTTTTCCTTCTTATCCTTCTCCTTTTTCTTTGGTTTGTTCTGCTGGGGCTGCGAGAGGGCTGCAAGCTGCTCGTGCACGGCTTTGAGCTGTGGAGCAATAAGCAAAAAAATATACAATAGGGCTGAGATGTTCTCTCCAACACCTGAGTCCTGGGTGACGGCTCTGTACCATGTGGAACAGTGTGGAGGCTTAAGTATCAGTTTGTGGGTAGGAGAGGGAGAAGATGGGCTGGCTATCAGTTAATGACTTCAGAAGCACTGGGCACTAAGGACTTGATGACTAACTGGGAGGGAAAGGATCGAGCAGGCAGCCCCATGTGCCCAGAAAATGACCACCACATTCCCACCTGGCCCATTAAAACACAGTATATACATGTTAGTTAACATGTGCTTGAACTAATAGGAAAATACCGCAAGGGAACACATGAGGATACAGAGCCAAGAAACCTCTGGGAGACTAGCCTGGCTTTTGGGCATAGAACAATGGGTGCCCTTACCTGCTCCTGGAGCTCAGCCAGCCGCTGGGCTCGCTCTTCCTCAGAGTCATCAGTGGAACTGTCACTGTCGGAGGAGCTATCACTGCTGCTGTCACTGGATGAGGGTGGGGGCACCACCTTTGTAGGAGGTGGCACTGCAGGGGAGGACACGGCCATCACTGGCTCTTCAGGCTCATCTGGCATCTTGGCAAAGCGCATTTCAAATACATCCTGGGGAGGGAAAGCCATGCCTATGAAGCTTTAGTAGTTTCCGGAGCCAAATCAACAGGAAATAAGTGAAAGAGTGAAGCATCACAAGATAGGAACTCTTCTCTGCCACAAACATGGTGTGTGTCTGTGTGACAGTAAGGCCTTCTGGGTCTTTTAATACCTTTGGTGTCCTGATATGGCTGGGCACTCACTCCCTGGAAGACACAAGTGACTGAGAGGATTGGCTTGCTGAGGGTACTCAATAAATGGCAGGTCAAGGGCAAGACCCCCAGAAAATCATGTCAGTGAGGCTTCTGTGATGTCTGTAGCTCCTAGAAAAGGGCTTTGCTAGCCTTTCACATAGAAGAAACAGCACCAGTAAAGGCTCTAAGTTGAGTGTTCCTGGCAGAGGGCATAGCATGTTTCTGAGTCTGCTTCCCTGCTCCTCAGTGTTTCATGAACACTTAACTGAGCAGAGGCAAGCCCTTAGCTGAGGTACCTCCAGGGATGCAGGGTAGTAGTGTATGGTGCAAGAGTAGCTTAGGGAGAGAGTTACCTTGAGGTGTAACCAACCAGAGCAGAGATCAAGAGGATTCTAGGCACAGGAATTCATTCCAAGACCTCCTCACTTAAAATCCAGAAATCAGAGATAATCACGAGGAATTAAAAGCTCAGGCAGCAATAGACCTGCTTGTCTGCCTAAGGATCAAATCACATGTCGTCAACCAGCTGGCAGGTCCGTCTATCTTGGGAATTCTATGATCAATCCAATGATGACCCACAGGACAGAGGTAGAAAGAAAATGGCTGGCTTCACAGCAAGTTTTCAGACCTGCTTTACTAATGTAATAAAATTGGGGGTGGATCTGGGGGGAGACAGAGACAGCCAGAAAAGTATGCTGAGTACTGGTGGTAAAGATGATAAAAGTATATTGTATGAATCTCCCAAAGAATTAAAATATTTTAAAGAAAAGAATGAAATGCTGACCATGGTAGCATATGCCTTTAATACCAGTACTCAGGAGTCAGAGGCAGGTGGATTTCTGAGTTTGAAGCCAGAAAGGGCTAGATAGCGAGACCGTGTCTCAAAAATCCAAACAAGACAAAAAAAGAATAAAATAATCAATGTAGCAATTCACAAACTGAAGAGGACAATCCCTCCTGTGTATCCTACTTCCAAGAGCAGTGTGTGTGGGTGGGTGGAATATGGAACCTGCTGTTTCAACTCAGGGCACACTTGTTTTCTCCCAGAGCCTGGCCTAAAGATGCTGCCAACGGACAGCTAGGAAAGGGTGCCCTCTACAGCAGGTATTGTGTAAGTGGTGCTGCTTCCTACACTCCCAATACTATTTTGCAAAGCTAAACTTCTTTCTTCCACAGTAAGGTCTTACCTAGCATTCTGTTCTGTGTTGTTTGTACTAGAAGCACTAATTTCCCAATCTTTCAGAAATAAATCCTAGAGCAGATCCCAGGACAAATATACATAGCAGATGACTAGCACTTCCCAGATATGAGACCAGGAAGGAAAATGGCTTCACATTACAGGAGAGGTTCCTACAACAGTAACTAAGTCCTCTAACACACAGCATTTGCCATGTGGTAAGAAAACCACAACCTACTACTCACAGTGCTCTGGACGTAGGTAGGCCAGGGCCCCTCAAAAGGCAGTCAGAGCCATGGGTTTCTGTAAGGCCAGGCCCACAGTCGAGCAGCACAGAAGTCTACCTTTTACCTGCTAAGGCTTTATAAGGGAAGAGACCAACTGTCCTTCCCAGAACACAGGAAAGGCCCGAGCAGAGGTTTCTACAGGCTAGGCATCTGTGTCCAGCCTTTCTGAGCCAGCTTTTGAGATAGCACTGCCTTCTGCCATAAGGCCATCCCCCTTTTTTCCTTCTTAGACTGGCTGTTGTGGACATGGTGAGTAAGGTGGAGAACACTCACTCTGAGGTCTCCCTCCATTCTCTTAAGTGCTTGTGGCTCTGGCTTGCTCAAGACCAAGGTTAAGGCCACGCAGCAAGAAAGCCAGACAAGATGAAAAAGCATCACCAGGCAAGGATGGAGCTACAGCTTCCTAATTGTGTCCAGTTTGTGACCCCATTCTTCTCCTCTTTCAATGGGACCCGAGAAATCTGCTCTAGCCTAGGTAGGGGCATCAGGGAAATCCTTAGCTGCAGGGAGAAAACCTTGCTGAGTGGCTCTCTGCTTTCAAGGAACCAAGAGTCTAGGGGGAAGCAGGATCATCAATGAACACGTTGATTATAAACTGTTCTGTGTGTTAAGAGGAAAACAGCAAGGGAGTACAATGAACAGGGAGGAACTAGAAGAACACCAAGGCCAAGGCCTGGAAAACAAATGGGGACCAGGAAGGATGGTATCCAGGGGATGAAAGGGCTAAGAGCACACAGACAGGACTTCTGTGAGGCCAGAGAGAGATCAGTGAGAAATGAGGAGCAGTTAACACTAGCACATGGACAAATGACACTTGGATCTGCTGTTGGGCTGACAGCATCTCAAGGTAGGTTCAGTTCTCTGTCTGGCATTCCACCAACCTCTGCTCATCATAGCTCACTGGTTTCAGACCACGTATTTCTTTGTGTTAAAAGGCTGACTAGCCTCCCTAGTACAGGCTGCACCTGATCCACAAAGGAAGCACACTACTCCCTTTAATAAACAAGTTCAGATGCACAAACATTCTCAGATGAACCAGTCTAAGAGGCAAATGCTGGAGACTAGAGACTCCTGGGATATGCAGGGCACAGATCTGAGTTGGAAACTCAGTAGGCGTTGCCAGGTGCTTGGGATGAAGCCTGAGTAGAAGACACAAAAGACTTACATACCTATATCAAAACTTGCCTGCCTTTAGGACCTAATATACTTTTCCTCTGTAAAAACAATGGAATACCACTCAGTATTTGTGACTAACCCCACCTTCGAAATCTCTGACAGCCACACAGGCTGTAATTTCTATCAAACTTCCTAAATGACTCTTCAAAACAGAGCAGAGTTGAGGGTAGGACAATAATCCAGAGGAAATCAAGACTAACCTTCCATTCTTTTTAATATTTTTTATTAAAAATATTAATTTATGTGAGTGCTTTGTCTGCACGTAAGTGCACCCATGTAGACAATGCCTGCACAGGTCAGAAGAGGATGTCCTCTATTACTCTCCACCTATTCCTTTGAGTAAGGGTCACTTACTACATCTGGGGTTTACATTTTCTCAGCTAAATAGCCATTCTCCTATCTCTATGCCCCTCCGAGTTGAGGTTACAGGTGTGTGAGGGACACCCAGCTTATTATGTGGGTGCTGGGATCAGAAATCTGGTTCTCATGCTTGTATACAGTAAACACTCTTAACTCTCCAGCCCCCTCAATAACTCTTTTCAATTGTATTTATTTTTTATATTTTTTAATTTATATTTTATTTTATGTGTTATCAGCACATGTATGTGAGCACACCCACCCGGGTTGTGCAACCCTGTGAAGGTCGGAAGAGGGCACTGGATTCCTCTGGAACTGGAGTTAAGGACTGTTCGTAGCCACCATGTGGGTGCTGGGAATTGAACCTGGGTTCTCTGCAAGAGCAGTCAGTGCTCTTAACTGCTGAGCCATCTCTCTAGCCCTTATTTTTTCTTTTATACACGTGCTTTGCCTGCATGCAGGCAAGTGCACTGGTGTTGTACAATGCCTCCAGAGGCCAGAAAAGGGAATCGGATCCCTTGGAACTAGAGTTATAGGCAGTTGTTAGCTGTCAAGTGGGTGCTAGCAAGTGAAACCGGGTCCTCTACAAGAGCAGCCAGTACCCTTAACCGCTGAACCATCATCTCTACAGGCCCTCCCTCAGAAGATGAGCGAGGGTGGGGGGGGGGCTTTGTTTCTCTCCCATTCTAACTACTTCAAGCATTATGATATGGGAACATTTGGAGAAAGAAGAAGTACAAAGCCCAAGATGCTACATAAACAATGGCTTTCCAGAAAATAAGCTCCCCTGGCAAGAAGAGGTGGTGCTACTTTCAGAAACAGCGTGATCCCATTCCTAGGGGAAAACATCCTCTTCCTGCCATGCCTGAACTGGGCCCTCCTTGACAGTAGGACCTGATGTAAATCTAGCTTGTTATCATTAAGTCAGTGCCCAGTAAGAACTCTGCTCAAGAGGTTGCAGTGTGACAGACATCTTGGTGACAGACAGCTATGGGTGAAAACACCATGTTTGGGCAGGTTCACACATCGAGGAAAAAGACAAACAAACTGTAAAAAGAGGAGGACACTCCAAGGTACCAGTGGAGGACAGAAGAATCAGGTGCAAAAAATAATGGAGATCTAGAGGTACTTTTTTTTTTTGTGTGAGACAGAGTCTTACCATATACGGATCCCTGGCTGTCCTGGAACTTGCTATGGTAGATCAGGCTGACCTTAAACTCACAGAAATCCACCTGCCTCTGCTTCCTGAGTACTGGATTGAAGATACATACCGCCATGTCCGGTTTAAAAATGTTTTCTTGGCGAGGCGTGGTAGTGCACGCCTTTAATCCCAGCACTTGGGAGGCAGAAGCAGGCAGATCCCTGTGAGTTCAAGGCCAGCCTGGTCTACATAGTGAGTTCCAAGCTAGCTGGGGATACAGGGAGACCCTGTCTCAAAAAGACAAAAAAAAAAGTTTTCTTTTGCTTTACTTTCTTTGGTGTTTTGGAAGATGAATGTGTCTTATAGGCTCCAAGTACTTGAATACTTAAGTCAGTTGGGAAGAGTCACAAAACCTTTAGGAGGTGTGACCATGCTACAGAAGTGTATCTCTAGGGGCAAGCTTTGAGAGCATATGGCTTTATCCTACTACCAGTTACTCTCTGCTTCCTCTAAGATGTGAGTGCTCAGCTTTCTGTCCCAGCTGCCTCCTGCCATGCCTCCCACCATGATGGACTCATCCCCCTGGAACCATAAGCCCAACTATAATACTTTTATCAAAGTAACAGAAAAGTAAAACTACACCTTCTATAAATAAAGTAGTCCTAGACTATTCTTCTGTGTCGGCAGAGAAATTTTTGGGGCTTTGCAGTTTCTTCAGTGAGGATCAAATAAATGGAATGAACAACAAATCTAGGCACTATGGACAAAAGCCACTCTGATTTTTCAAGAGATGGAGAAGGGCCGAGAAGGAGGGGACCTAAGGCAGAAGTCTGAAGACACACTGTCACAAGGTGACCTTATGTAAGAATTGCAGTAAAAGCCCGAAGTAGTAGTACACTCCATTAATCCCAATGCTAGAAAGGCAGAGGCAAACAGATTCTCTGTGAGTTCCAATCCAGCCTGGGCTTATAGGGAGGCCCCTGTCTCAAAACAAACAACAGTAAAATTTAAAAAGGGAACACTAGCCCGCAATACAAAGAGAAAAAACTAAGGAACACGTTCCAGAAATAAAAACTTTTTAGCCTGAGCAGGTACTTGAATAAGACTAGGCCAACACCACCACCAAAGAGCATATTCAACCTCACCAAGGGAAGAATTTTGCCACCTCTTGATTCTTTAAAGTCCTCTGAACTGAAGGCAGTTCATGATCAGCAGCTGAATGGCAGAATGAGAGATAATGCCTTCACTCCAGTGGGAAGAGAAGATGTTATGGTGTGAACTTGGCACAGCTGGGGAGCTAAACAAACCAACTTAGAGGGGAGGGAGGCATTAGGGGTCAGGTGACCCCTGGCATAGACTAAGGTGTCCACCAAAAGCTTTGCCAATCTTTACTTCTGCAGTGAAAACAACTAGGCTGCTGTGTAAACAGCTGTGGGGAAGCCCTTGGATCCACAGTTAATACACCTGTGTCTTATGACAGCAGCTCACAGACCACTGACTGAGAGCAGAAGCAAACCATGGACTATGGAAGAAATGGTTGGGAATATTATGTTCCTACATGTCTCCTTTAAAAAGCAGGTAAATGGGGGCTGGAGAGATGGCTCCAGTGGTTAAGAACACAGACTGCTCTACAGAGGACCCAGGTTTGCTTCTCAGTACCCACATGGTGGCTAACAACCATCTGTAACTTCAGTTCCAGGGGATTCAGTACCTTTTGACCTCCACAGGCATTGCATGCAATGGGTACACTTACACACATGCAATACACTCATACACATAAAATAATAAGTAAAATATTAAAAAAAAAAAAAAAAAGAAAAAAAAAAAAAAAAAAAGGTAAGCCAGGTGTGGCGGTGTACACCTTTAATCAATCCTAGCACTCAGGAGGCAGAGGCAGGTAGATCTCTGTGAGTTCAAGGCCAGCTGGAGCTGCAGGGAGACCCTGTCTCAAAAGACCAGGAAAATAAAGGCAGGTAATAAAGGCATTAAATACTGGCTTCATTAACCTCCCATTCTTTTAATATTTTCATTAAAAATATTAATTAACGTATTTTATATGTATCAGTGTTTTTCTGGCATGTATATAAGTGCACCCATGTAGGCAATGTCTGTGCAGGGTAGAAGATGATATCAGAACCTCTGGAACTCAAGTTAAATGATGCATGTTTGTTAGCTGCCGTGTGGGTGGTGGGAACTATCTGGGTCAGTGCTCTTAACTGCCCCTTAACCCCCATTCTTCCCCCCTGGAATATTTTACTTATTATTATTTTTTTTAATGCATGTGAATGTATTGCCTGCACATATGTAAGTAAGGGCACCCATGTCATGCAATGCCTGTAGAGGTCAGAAGAGAGTGTCAGATTCCCTGGAACTGGAATTATGGAAGGTTAGCTGCCACGTGGGTGCTGGGAACCAAACCTGGGTGCTCTGCAAGAGTAGCTGATGGTCTTAACTGCTGAGCCATCTGTTCAGTCCCCTTAACTTAACCCCATTCTTAAAAAGCCTTGGGGCTGGAGAGATGGCTCAGCAGTTAAGAGCATACAATTCAGGCAATATACTCATACACATAAGAAAAAAATTTAAAAAAAGAATAAAATTGAAAAAAGAAGCCAGACCTCACACGTGTGAACCCAGCACTGAGGAGGCTTATGCAGGAGGATCACTACCAGTGTGAGGCCAGCCTGGACTCAAAATTCCAATAAATAGGGAGCTGAAGGGATGGATGGCTCAGCAGTTAAGGCTGCATGGTGCAGAGGACTGTAGTTCTATTCCCTGCACCGTCAGGCAGCTCATAACTGCCTGTAACTGGTTCTAGGGGATCCCAGCACCCTCTTCTGGTTTTGGCAGGCACTGTACTCATGTACAAACCCACACTCACATAGCAAATCAAATCCAACAAACACATGAAAAATGAAAACAGTTTACACATTCATGCTGTACCCCCCACTGCCCTCTCAACTTAAAGGACAGAGCCCAGGAATTCTACCTATTAAGGACTATAATCACATAGGCTCATTTATTAATAGCCACCCTGCAGCATATGAAGTGAGGAAATATCCACATGTGAGCAGTTACTTTGGCTTACAACTATCTCAAATATCTACACTTGATTTAAAGTATTACCCTGCCTACTCTGACAGGTCTATTTTGGGAAGAGATTGGGGACATGCAACAATACACATGCTCAGTCAAAAGCAACATAATGCAGGTGGAGAGGAAGAAAGGGGAGGAAGCTTTCAGTGGGACACAAAACCTGCTACCCTGTTTTATTTTTAATAACCCTGACTTAAAATATGTGTATACATTGAACTGAGTTAAAGTCCACTCTTCCAAAGCCTCATGGCATTACCCAAGGGAAATTACAGAAACAGAATCTACCAAGGCTCTTAAAGAGATCTGACCAGCTCTTCCTGGAGTCTCACCTGGAGTTTTCGGGCCATGGCTACCACTTCATGGTCAGGGGGGTTGTATTTGTAGCAGTTGGAGAACATCAATCGGACATCAGCACCAAATTCCTGAGCATCTCGGTATTCCCGGGACTCTAGTTTAGACTAGAAATACAAGAGTGGTCCTAGTCAGGCATGTCTATTCATGGCACAGTTGGGGAGCACAATGAGGGCTGCCTGTGGGAACACAAACTGGCCTCTTAGTGGCTCTGTTTAATCCAGACTAGAGTATGGGGTGAGGGGGGTTACATAAGGACAATAGGTCATCTCTCCAGTTCTTAACATGAGATGAACAAGGAGACACACACAACCAAGTCTCAGGGCTGGTAACTTTGTCTTTTTGATTGCGAACCTGGGTTTTTAACGGCTGTGGTAACTCTCCAGCCCAAGTCTCAGGGCTAGGAACTGTCCTTTTGCACCCCAAGCTTACCTACTGAGGTCAGTATGATGGCTAAAGGGAAAAGGAACACAGAATTCTAGGACTGCTCATGCCAGAACTAAAGAGAAGATCTGGATCCAGTTCTGATTTTGCACACACTTGTGTTGAGGGCATAGAATAAAATAATGGTTCAAGGACCACAGCACTGTCTCCTGCTTGGCCTGTTTGAGCAATCTTATTCTAATTCAAAAGAGAATGAAAAAAAACAAAAAACAACAAACAAAAAAAACCCAACCCAAACCAAACCCCCAAAACTTAAAGGCCCCAAAATACCTTGGTGAAAAGGTTAGCACCTAGTGTTGGGTCTCCCACAGAGGAACAAGAAGTCTTTTCTATCACAACAGGCCCACAAAGCCCTCATGCTCTCCAAGAGCACAAGCCAGGTGCATTGGTGCCTGGGGGCATTGAGAAGACTTGTGTGTGCTTCTTGCTTCTCCATAAACCAAGAGAAGTGGTGTGATTGCCTGAAACCAAAAGGCCAAGCACACTATGCTGGTGCATGTCTCAATAATGCCCTGCAGAGGACACCCAGGGCTTCCTTGGATTGGTCTAAGAAGAACCCTGTCTCTGTCTACCATGTTCCCCCGCCCAAGCCCAGGAGCCTGTGGACTGACCTTGATTGTGCTCATGTCCATTGGATGCTTGATGATGTCACAGTAGTCATGCAGGCCCAGTGCCTCCACATCCACAGGCTTGTAGAAGGGCCAGGCATAGGCAGCATGCTTCTTGGCAAACATTTCCTTGAGGATGCCGCTGCAGCACTTTAACTGCTCAGAGACCTTGCTGCTCTTCTCTGGTGCTGGGTGCTGCTGTGAGTCGGGTACATCCTTCTTTGGGGGCTTCACAGGTCTGCTGCTCTCCCGCCGGGGACCCAGCTTGGTAGTCTTGGGCTCAGGGGCCATTGAAGGCGGCTCATGAATGGGATCGATGGTGGTGGGGGTGGTAGTATCTGCTTTCCTCTTCACCCCTTTCTTTGTCTGCCATGAGCATAGGCACAAAAGGCTCGGTCAAAGGCTCTGGCTTGGACAGCTGCTCTTTGGGATCACCTCTGAAACCAGGCCCCAACTAAGGTCCCAATACTCAGGTCTGGCCCAAAGGTATTGCAACGTAAAGGACTGAGGACATGGAGACCCTGTCACACCACTGTGTTCTGTAGCTGGGATAGGACCAGCCAGTAACAGAAGAAAGCACAAAACTGAATGCAAGATTTATCACTCAGGCCAAATAAAACCTCTTTAAGAAGTTTCCTGTTTAATGCCAGGGTCTCTCCCCAGAGCCCACTGAAGGAACAGCTAAAAGAAGCTACCTGTCTCTTGTAAGCCCATCCCTGTTGGCAACAGTCTACCAGTGCCCAGGATGCTTACCTTCACAGGCTGTGGGGTGGTAGTAATGATGGGCGGATGGCTCTGCACAGGCTGTGGAGCTGGAGCGGGTGGGGGTGGTGGCTGGGGGGGCACTGGTGGAGGCGTCTGTAGTGGTTGGGGGGGTACCACTGTCATGATAGGAGTCTGGACAATGAGGTCTGGGGTGACAGCAGGAAAGGGGTGAGGTGTGGCCTGCACGGGAGGAGGGTTCTGCTGAGGGGTCTGGGTCTGCGGAGGAGTTGATGCTTGAGTTGTGTTTGGTACCGTGGAAACACCAGGCTTTGCCGTCCCTACAAATCATAAAAAGGACAGGAAGCTGAGACTGTGCTGACATACACTGTCTGACCCTGTCAAGACACCCACACACATTTGTGTGGTACAAATGCTTCACAGGCAAGAGAATTCTGCACAATGCTACTCAGCACTGTGCTAAGCCTATCCATGTGTCCCCAGGATTCAGAGAACAGTGGAACACAGTACTTCCTATTTCCTGTGGTGTTCTAGCTGTAATTCCCCATTCAGACACAAAGTAACTTTCATTAAGGGAAGCTCTGGTTGAAGGACTAGGAAATCCATACAGTGTTAGCACCAGGGCTTGTGCATGGAGACAAGAAGACTGTTCCTTGGTGCATCTAAACAGAGCTATCCTCATCCCCAGCAGTTGCCTTATGTTACCTTATGAATAAGTGTTTTTGGCAGAGTTCAGCAGCAGCCAACCTTGTCAAGTTTTCTGAAAAGTGACACATCACTGGGGAAGAGGTAACAATTGCTGCCTTTTGTCACTCCTCAGGCTGTTCCCCGACCCCTTCCAGCTGTGACATACCGGCATAACTCCAAACCCAAAACTGTCACATGGCACACCAAACCAGGTTTAAAAACAATGGATTATGACCAGAGCTCTGTGAGCAGGTAGACCAAGGAATATATCCCAGAATGCCACATCCTTTGCATGCATACTGGCTGCCATGGAAAGGTTAACTGACCCTCAATACCCAAACCCAACAAAAGCATCATGTAGTTGCACACATCTGCAATCTAAGTTTGAGGAGGAGGTGTCACAAGAGGGGAGGTCAAGGCACAAGGATTGAGAATGTGTGCTCACCCTAGTTACACAGAGACCTTATTTCAATAAAATAATGTGAGAAGAGGACAAGGGACACCTAATGACTGATTTTCTTTGGTTATTCCAAGAGCTGCACTGGATTTAGCTATCTTCTGCATCGTTACCACTCTGGAGCAGGGTAAGAGGCCAGGCTAAAAGATATGCTTTAGGGAAGGAACAACTCACATCAGGAGCCACCTGAAAAATGCCATCCTTTTGTAGCTCAGGTAAGACAGCTCAGGACAAAACAGAAGGTACCTGTTATCAACTTTCCTACACAGAAACTTTTTGAACTGTCAACTCTCTGCCAGCTAGAATTTTGTCAATGGGGGTATAGGTGGAAAGCTGGGAAGTACAGCATGCAAAAAGACAAGGAGCAAGAAACTGGCTTGACTGAGCATCAAAGGTGGGTATGGTTGTGGCATTAAGACAATTTAGGTAACAAACCTCAAGGGTTTAGGATCACTGATCCTGAAAAAATCTTCTGGTTAGATTGAAGTTCAATAGTAAATTAGTACTTGCCTAACATGCCAGTAGTGCCAGGTTTAAGCTCTAGTGCCACCAAACGAATGAAAATTAAAACAGAAAAGCAAAAACCATCTAGAGAACTGACAAGGTGAAGAATTCCAATATCAAAATGCTTAGAAAAGTCACATTCATTCATTCATTCATTCATTCACTCACTCACTTATTTTTATTTGAATGAGTGTTTTGCCTCCATGTGTATAAGTGCACCTGTATGGTACAATGCCTGAAGAGGTCAGAAGAGGGTATCAGATCCCCTGGAACTGGAGTTATAAATGGTTATTAGCTGCCATATGGGTGCTGGGAACTGAACCAAGTCTGGTTAAGCACTCTTAACCACTGAGACATGTCTCCAGTCCCAGTCACTTAAAATTAAAAAAATTTATTATCTGTGTTTCTCCTGCATATATCTAAGTGAACCCATGTCATGCAATGCTCATGGAGGCCAGAAAAGGCCACAGGATCCTCTGGAACTAGGAGTTACAGATTTAAGTGCTAGGAACCAGACCCTGGTCCTCTTAAGAGCAGCCAGTGCTCTTAACCGCTAAGCCATATCTCTAGCCTGACACTTTCTTTTTGACCAAAGTCCCTCAATCACTCTGAGCCCAATTATTTCTGTCTGGGAGAGACCCCAGGGATACAGGGGTCTGTGGCTCCTGAGAGTGGAGCCAATATGAAAACAGATCTCATTTTGTTCAAACAACAGCACTGCAGCACATGACGTCACTACCTACAGCCCCACAACCCCCAGTCCTATACTAAATTCGGAAAATGGACAAAGAGTAGAAACACAGCTGATTTACTTGCTGTTTCAAGTACTCTACCTGCTTCTTTCCTTCCTCGTCCTCTTCCTTTTGCCTGGACTATCATGATCTCGGTTTCTTCTGTGGGGAGTTCATTGATTTTTTGCAAGAAGAGCTTCTCCAGAGCTTCTGCCATTAAGACGATGTCGTCTCCGGGCTGGATGAGGAGACAGGTGGGGTAGAGCTGGAAGGCCACCCCTCCCCACCTCTGTGGACAGGACACCCAGACCACCCTCATGCCCCTATAGATGGAGCATCATATCCAGGTCCCTTTCCTGATCTGGTTTCCAAGGGGCCACAATGGTCGTGCTACTAGGTGTCCCTAACAAGACCTGTCCACCTGGATCTCCCTCTCGGTGTTTAAGCTCTATTGAGAAACAATTCTTGTGCCTATCAACTCAGTCGATCTCTGACAGGGGCCCTCCTTGCTTTAGGGTCTCATCAGATAACTCAACTGAATTCACTAGAAATATTCAAATTACACAGCATTTTTTACACTGAATACTTCAGTGGGGCTCCATCATTGCTCCCCAATGTACCCCCCGAGGCACTCTGTGGGGTTTGGATGAAGCCCATCTCACATTGCCTTATGGGTCCCCACTCTGTCACCATGTCTAGAACATGCTGTCCCCACTCAGCTCTAAAACTGAGGGCCTTGTCTGTAGACTTCTCTTCTACCTAAGTGTTGAGAACTAAGGCTTTACAAAACACAGTAAACTTCAAGAAACTCACCTACCCATCTCTTCTGGGCAATTTTACCCACTACACCAGCAGAGGTCAAAAGCTGAGTTCTGTATAGTGTCTCCCTCCAGAGTCCTTCTATTTGAAAGGGTTGGTTTTAATCACATCTGTGGTCTGAACTGTAAACAAATGATCTGGCTTCATGGCACAGCCGAGCCGAAAGGTTTGGCTACGGGGTTAGGAAGTGACCCTTGTGTCTACAAGTAAGACCAGGGGGACACTCAATTCTATGGCCAAGATTAATCAATGGTCATGTCCACAGTTCCAGGAGACTGTGACCCACAGAACAGCTGGGGTAAGCAGGTGGCCCCATTGTACCATCTCACATAAAGATTTCTGCCTGAGCACACCTCTGCAAGACTCTAGCGCATAGGCTCTTTTTGCTGACAATTTACACCATCCCAATGGACCATCAGGTTGTCTTCTCTGTCCTCACACCTTCTCTATTATACATGCTCAAGAACTAATAAAATCCCAAGGGCACCAGAAGCAGATGCTTCAGGCTAACAAGGACAGCACCCTCCTCCCCACAAAAGAAACATACCCAGTCCCAGGCACAGCCGTAGTTCCCACGACCCAGGGTCTCTTGCTGTCAGGCTTAAAGCCCAGCTGATCCCAGCAATCCTACCCCTAGGCTCCTGAGCATCCCTATCTTCTTCCCCTTCCTCCAGGGCAGCTGGACACCTGCCCCCACATCTCACCTTGTTGTAGATGTAACAATTTGTAAACATAGTATTGAAGTCCTGGATACATTCCTGAGCATTCCAGTAATAGTTGTTTTCCAAGCGCTTCTTTATTGTTCCCATATCCATGGGTGTTTTTATTATCTTATAGTAATCCTGAGGAGCAGAGAGAACAAAGGCCAATGTCACCTGAGCAGCCATGCTGAGCTGGTTGGCTGAACCTGTTAAATCTCCCTTACTCCTTGTAACCCCACAGGCAAACAAAGATCTTCTATGGTGTCAGCGTGAAATTCAAGGCCAAGTGGGTAATGGGCAGACTGCTAAATGCTGGGCAGCAATTTGAAGAGGAAAATATGTAAGCTGGAAATTGGTTTATTTTCAAACAGTCTTCATAGAAAATTTATTCCCTTTTGAAAAATTTATTTTTCAAGACTTTCATGCATGTCTAGAATGTATTTTTATCATATCCTTATTCCCCTCCCTTCCTAATTGCCTCCAGACATCTCCAACTTCTTTTTTTTCTTTTTTTAAAAATAACCCACCGAATGAAATTAGTACTGCCCACATGTCCATGGATATTCACTGGCGTATGGGAAACCTATCAGTGGCCAGACTCCCAAAGAAAGTTGACACTTCCTCCCACAAGCAGCCATCAACTGCCATTAGCTCTTAAGCTAGGAGTTGAGTCCACTTTATTTATTTTATTTTTTTTCATCTTTTTGAGGCAGGGTCTCCCTGTAGCCCCAGCGGTCCTTGAACTCAAGAGATCCACCTGCCTCTGCCGCCCAAGTGCCGGGATTAAGGCGTGCACCACCACGCCCGGTGTCCCTGTTTTCTTAAAAAAAACAAACCTTCATTCTAAATAAAGGGAAAAGCACATAGCCTCTTAAAAATAGTTCTTGGGAAAAGAGGGACAGGAGAGACCAGCATGAAACGCAAATATGAGCTAAGTATAATGGCATATATGTATGAAATTGTCATTTTTTAAATTATTTAATCGTGTGTGTGTGTGTGTGTGTGTGTGTGTGTGTGTGTGTGTGTGTGTAAATGCAGGGGTATCCCTGTGGAGGTCAGAGGATAACTTGCAGGATTTAGTTCTCTACTGCCATCTGGTGGAATATGGAAATTTAACTAAGGTGAGTTAAGCCTGTGAGATATCTCACAGGCTCAAAATCCATTATTTTGTACACTAACAAAACAAAAAAAGCAGTTCTTAGTAAAACCACCAATGAGGCTGAGGCTATAGTTTCGTGGTAGAGCACACAAAGCCCTGAGATCCATCTCTAGGACTTCCACCACATCACAGCAAATTCTCTTTGTCCTCATTTTAAAATCTGAAATTCCCATGGCACTAGAACCAGTTAAGCCCCCTTAACTGTATTTCTTGCTTCCTACCATAGAGAAGAACAGTAAAGGTTAAACCTCCACTTTTAGTCAAGTTCATTGCCTGTTTATTTCTTTCACTTGCATGAAGCTTACCACTATGGCATTCTAGATCAGATTCAACAATTAACCAAGTTAGCTGTCAAAAAACTTGCGTACAGTCCAAAATCAAATTCTGTACTACTCCTATAACATTTCTAAATCTATTTTAGTTTCTAATCTAAAATTTCACTTTTATTATCTCCCTCTGTGTGCACATATGTGCTGCTGCATGTACATGGAGGTTCAAGGATCAAAGTCTGGTAGTCAGGCCTGGGATTAAGTGTCTTTACCTGCTGAGCCACCTGGCTGGCCTCCACTATTTTAAAAGCCAAAGACTTAAACACTCCCACTCCCCAGTAATTTTTGGACAGACACAAGTACCTGAGTTTCCAGGTGGGAGGACCAAAGATGGCCAGGCAACATAAGAGACAGCAAAATGGCCTCTTAGCTAGATCTACTGAGAACTAAATTCTAGGAGGCTATCTACTCCACTGAAGACCTGTACTTCCATAATTAAGCACAGGTAGGGCATTGAACAAAGTTCAAGTGGGGCACCTAGATGGGGACACAGATGCTGTCTACAGAGAGGAGAGGCAGGCCCTACTATTCCAAGTAAGCATCAAGGTTCAAGGTACTGCAATGAAATTTTGAGTTGTTCTGATACTAAAAGAGGAACAAAAGTCACTATTGTCCCTGTGAGAGCAGGGAGATAGGTGTCCTGCCCTGGTAAGGGCTGCACGTAACATGCAGGCCAGAAAGCAACTCAAAATCAAACTTCCTATACCATGTCATGCTCTGGGGCCTCCTTTCCCAAGAGAACTAAGCCCAAATAAACCAACCCCAGTGGAAATCTATTTTATTCTATGGCCAAAGCTCTCTAAGACTAGTGCTCAGCACTTTACACTGGTCCACCTGCCTCTGCCTCCCGAATGCTGGGATTAAAGACATGCGCCACCATGCCTGGCAACCCAGACTTCTTGATTTTCTCTTAGAAAACCACAAAATATATAATTGGTGGACATACAATTGAACAATTGTCACAAACACATGGTTTTCAAGCCAGGAAGGTCAGATTAGAGTATCATATCTTTAAGAACCTGGACACCTAGCAAGAGACTATGGCCACATCTCCACATGAAGTTCTAGCACACACAGACCCAATCTGGTAAAAAACTACCAGTACCTAAACCCATTTGCCAGGGGACATTAGACTTGGCACATAGTACAGGACAATTTAGAAACCAAGCCTCGGCTTTTGAAGGAAAAGAAAAATGAAAGAATTTATTCCAACTGCTCCGTGAGGTTCAGTTAGGAGTTCAGATTGCAGAGCTGTGGCAAGTGATGTATGTCAATGGGAAACTCTCCAGAGAAAGAGAAGAATAAGAACAAGTATGCTGAGGCTATAAGGTGGGGGTGGAGGGTGGTCTGCTCTCAGGGACATGCCTATGCAGGTGCAGCCACTGTCCCCTTCCTTCCTTGGGCCTCTGCGTACTTGTCCCTTGGAGATAATCTGCTACCTTTCCCCCCTTGTACTGATGGTGATGCTAATGACTGCTATTGCAGTAGACCAGTCCCCTTCCTGTACAGGCCGATCAATCAAGTCTACTTCTACCACAGCTGGAGGAGGAAAGCGGCTGGGATTATCCACCAAGGCTCTGACTTTAGCTTGCCTTGGAATTGGAAGGCAATCAATCTGTAAGCAACCTTTCCACCCTGTTCCAACCACTCTCCACACAACTTTTCCTGGGATCTCAATTACCTAAGAAATCAGTGTTTCAAACCAGTTCATTTATTCTTTTTCCTTTACAGTTTGATTTACCGGGACTGCTGAAAGGTGTCAAAGGGTACTGGTTTTCAGAGTTCTTACCGTGCCTCCAAACCCACCTCTACCCTCCTATACAATGTGTCTTCACCAAGGAGAGACTGCAGACAGTGGCGGTCACACACCCTGCCCAAGCTACTCACAGGGAGGTTCAGCTTGACGGCATCCACAGGCTGCTGGAAAGGCCATGCAAATTGGTGTTTCCATAGTGTCTTGAGCACCACTCTGAGCAGATATTGTAGTTGGTTGGTCTGCCTCTTGGGCTTATTGGGATTGGACGTTTCTGGGGGTGGAGGGTTGGTGCTGGCTGTGTTGGCTGGCTGGGGTTGGGCCTGGGCCTGTGTTGTAGACATTTGGGAGGTTTCTAGTCCATCCCCCATTACTGGCAGATTTCTCAATCTTGTCCCAGGGCCACTCTCCGTAGACATGCTAGTGATCCCATCACATTCTTCACCAGAGACTCTATAAGGAAGAGAAAAATCCCATCAGAGACCAGGCAACAGATGGGCCCAACTAGAAACAAGTCACCCTCACTGAAGCCTTCAAGGATTGAGGTCTCTGCTACTGACTGGTCAGGACAGCTGGCAGAGTCACTCCATGCCCCAACTTAAAAAGCAAAAAACAGGCAATCTAGCAGAGAAGGCAGACCTCACCTATCAACAACCATGGGCAGAACATGGAGTGAGGACTGATCAGGAGCTAGCAGAGCCACTGAGAGCTAAATAGTTCACAAGTGAGAAGGTACCATGTTTCACAAGCCTGCATGGCCCTTTTCCCATCTACAAATTTTTAGATTATGTTTATGTGAGTTAAGATATGCAACCACTTACAATCAAATTCTTGTTTGTATCTGTGGCTTATGAAGCACTAAATGAAGTCAGTAATTCCATTTGGTGAGTCAAGGCCAAACAGGGAGGAACAGTAAGGTTGGGCCTACCTGCTTGCCTTTGGATAGCTTCACAATTAGTAACAACATTTTCTAGGTAACTTATATAATGTGTGTTTACTGAGGAAAGAAATCTTACAAAAGGTTGTTGATTTTAAGTCCAAACTTGCTTACTTTTATCAACTACATTGGGGCATCCCCATGACAACACCTTGTGTTGGTACCTATCTGTGCATCCCATCTGGTACACGCCAATTCCCTCCCCTAAACAGCTCCCTTTGAAGGCCTTGCCAACTCTTGCAGACCCTGCCACAAACAGTCTTTTGAAGATTTTTGTGCCTATTCAGTTATTCCAATAAAACAAACATTTAAAATACATAACCACAGCTGAGTAATATTTTTTTATTGTAATCTGTCCTCCAGATACACAATAAATTAACCCCTTACTGTACTGCTGACAAGCCGCACACTGTTAATGAAACATTTGTTCAAATATGGACTGGCCATTTGCATTCTTATTCTATGGTATGTCCCTGGCTGTTGGTAGACCATGCTAAACAGACAGTCCTCAGGGTCGTCCCCTGCCCCAACCCAAGGGTGGGAGTTACTGGGAGGGAGCCTAGGCTTAGCAACTGCCTGTGACACTTTTCTACTATCCAGTAGGAATGGCCAGTTGTTTAAACCTATTCTGGGCCAGAGGCTGCCCACACCCAATAAGCATATCTTTAGGAATGATTCCAGGAATTTAAAATGAGGTAAGAAAACCTTTCTGGCTGAAAAAGTCAACCAAGTGTTATAAGAAAAGGGGGCAGGTTTTAGACCACCACTGGGCAGAGAGACAAGATAAAAGCAAGAGAGTCTGGCTAGCTTTGCTGAGGCTTGGATTTTGGAATGCACTTAATGGGTCAAGAATCAGATTTATTCCTAGGCCCACCAGTTGTTGATCAATTACTTTATAATTCAGTTGAAGTTTAATTTAAACCAAGGTTTCCATAAAGTTTTGTAGTCTATTTCTGAAAAATTAATTTTTAAAAAAGCAACAGGGGAGGACTTGCTACAGAAAGCAACTCTGCAGTTAAGAGTGCTGTGAAGAACTGGACTTCCTGGCTTGTGGCAGGCAAGCAGGCTGGCTGCCCAGCCAACAAAGGTCCCACCTACTTGTCCCCTACATCAAAATCCTGGCTATATGGTATGCCCAAGAGCTGACATCAAGACAGCTTCTTCCTTCCATGGTATTTTGTCTGGCTGAGCCTCAGGTTCAATTAGCTGTGTAAATATACCCCAATGAAAGAAAGCCACATAGAATCAGGGACAGAAAGCACCCACAGGACAGTACAGGGTATGGTGCAAACTGTCAGAGCTTGCTCAGTAGTCTCAGATAGAACACAGAGGTATAAATGACAAAAGCATGTGACAAGGCATACTGGAACATGTGTGTACCAGTGCACACATGCATGCCCCCCCACCCCAACACACCCTGACTAGTTCAGCATGGTGGGAAGCCTGAGGAGAGGTTAGAGGGAGGGAGCACCCCAGAAGCTGTCATCCAGCATTGTGAGTCTTACCCTTTCCTGAGGTGACAAGAAGCAGGCTGCACCAATGGCTAAGGTTTATTATTATTTAATGGCCAGGGTTTGAGTAGGGCTATAGAAAAACTCAAATGGTTGTGTCCCTGAAGGCACTAGGGGAAGCACAGACTGACCTTAGCTGGAAGATGTGTAATTACTTGGCTTGATTTTTCTCCTTTTATGTCTTTTAAAACTCTCATTTGATTACTGATGAAGAAAAACTCAGTATAAATGTTTTGCTTGGGGTGTTAATTGACAATTTTCTGTGCAGATAGAATTTAATGCCATTTTGAAATAAGCATACTATGCACAAGCAAAACAATGAACTGACTGCACAATGAACTGTACCCCTAAGTGTACAAACATCAAGACAAGTCATGGCAAGTAAGAGGGGTAACACTACAAAGATATACTGATGGAATTTAAGCATACCTGAGTCTATAAAGGGTTCCCATGAAGCAGGACCAACACATCCAAAGTGAGCACATGGAAATGAGTATGACATAGCCCTGTTGTAAGAGAAGTCCTAACAGTGCTAGACAAGCCTGAACTTGGAGTGTCTGTGTGTCCCTGGTCCCTGATGAAGCTAAAGGACAGACCTCCATGTTGGTGGCCATAATGAGATGTCTCCTAGAAAGCAGTTTAGGAAAAACACAACTGGGAACCTGATGCAGGAAAATCACTGAATTCAAAGCCAACATGGAACACACAACTGTCTATCGGCTTGTCTCTCTCACTGTACACTGAGCATGTGCCAGGTGAGCTGTAGTGGGTTGACAGGGGTGCTCTAGAACAAAGGACCTGCCAACAGCCCCAAAAATGTTTCATTGGGTAATGACATTTTTGAAATCTCTTAGCAACGTACCCAAGGCAGGGCTAGGGCTGAAAACCACACTTGTGGGTAAGTCGGTGCCTCCTCTCTTTCCAAAGGGACCCAGAGCAAAAAAGCAAAGGTGGTTCTGATGATGACTATGCTCCTTCACCTTCCCACAGGTCCAGGAAGCTAATTTTTCTGTTTACAAGATGAATGGATGAATTAGCGTACAAAGATATGAAAAGACCATGAAAGACCTGGCATATAATTTCTTGGCAGTTTAAGTTAGTGTTTGAATCAAGAAGTCCTCACAAGTAAGCTGAACACACCACCCAGAGAGTATAACATAAATGGAGAGGCTGATCAGATCTTGAGACAAGGCCGCATTATGTAGTGCAGACTGTCCTTGAATTTATGCTCTTGCCTCAGCCTCCCAAGTGTTACAAATACAGGAGTGAGTCACTACATGTAGGCCGGCCACATCTTTAACATGAAAATAAGGCAAAAGATCCACACGCTCAATTCTACAAGGGAAGAAACTGCTGAAAGTTGTCAGTTCAAATGTGAAGGTGTGACAGTCAATAGATGCCCTCCACAATGGAAATCACTAAGCAATGATGACAGAGCCAGAAAGTCACCATGAGATGCCCAGAACTCTTGCCCAGAACTCTCATTCTGGGCCCATTCTTGGCATGGGCAGCACGTGTACCTCAAAGAGACTACACCCTCACCCACTCCAACAATATCATGCTCTCTGTCCTAGTTACCTGTCTGTTGCTACGATAAAGCACTGACCAAAAACAACTTACTACTGCTTATGGTCTACTACGGGAGGGAGGCAAGAACAGGAACAGAGACCACTGAGAAACACTGTTTACTGGCTTGGCTCAGCTACTTTTCGTTTTTAAATATCTTACTTATTATTTTAATTTTATGTATATGAGTGTATTGCCTGTATGTGTGTAAGTGTACCTGTGTCATGAAACACCTGTGGAGGTCAGAAGAAGGTGTTGGGTGGGATCCCCTGGAACTGGAGTTATATATGGTTGTTAGCCTCCATGTGGGTGCTGGGAATCGAATGCAGGTCCTCTTCAAGAGCAGCAGTGCTCTTAACCATTGAGCCATCTCTCCAGCCCCTTGGCTACTTTTTCTTTGTTTACTTTTGGGTTTTTTTTTTTTTTTTGAGACAGGGTCTGGATCTCACACAGAGCGACCTGCCTCTTCCTCTACCTCCCAAGTACTGAATCTTACACAGCCTAGGCAGTCCTGGGCACTCCTACATCAAAGGTATGCCCACAGGCTAATCTGATGGAAGGAATTCCTCAGTTAAGGTTCCCTCTTCCCAGGTGTGTCAAGTTGACAACAGAAGCTAGTAACACACTTCTTGTATATAATCGTGAGAAAATAAAATGCTTCTGGAAATTCAAGAATCCATTCCTTTTGCAGAAACAAAGAACATGAAATGAAAAAAAGCAACCAGAGCCTCTCACCTGACCCTGGGCAAGGAAGTAAGGCTCAGTGAGCAGTTCTCTGGCAGACCCTGACACTTCTAAGGCACAGAGAACATCTGGATCAGCCTCCTTGGGCAAATTCTTCCCACAATATCATTCTCACTAGTCCTCTAGTGTCTATGCTCCCAACATGGCTACTGCCATGATATCCCTATCACCTTCAAGTCTTTTTACCTGCTACCCCTACTAGAAGGACATACACAGGCAGGTGCCAATTTCCCACCCAACATGCCTGATGTTTCCATGATCACCATGTGCAGGCCTGTCTTAATTTCATTCTCATTCTACCACACAGTAGGTGTACCACACAGGACCATGTCCCAGGACTGTCACCATGGGGCTTCTAGCTCAGTCAATCTCACTGCTCTGGAAAAGCAGCACTCATGTGGACAATGTGGTGACTGCCAAACTCAGTCATTCACTTAGACTATGTATCTCACTGGAGCTGCATGCCAGTCTAGGGGATTCAGCAAAATTCCAATAAATGTCATGAAGAAAATCCTGGCTGCTGCTCTGGCCAGAGACAGGTCTGATCAGTGAAGTGACAGCCCAGGCAAAGATCTAAGCAAGAGGGAGATCAGCATCTAGGAGGGGCTGAGAAGAGGGTAACTGGGAATCTTGTGATACACGCATACATTCCTTTCTTCCAACCATCCATATCTAATCTATGTAGTTGTTTTTTT